AGTTCCTTGAGAAAATGAAAGCAACGGCGATGCGTCATCCGATACGGTTGTAATGGTAAGCACCCGGCACCCAAAATCAACGACAAATACGCAAAATTCCTCCTTTCAACGACGTTAATAAAACGACGAAGCCCTCAAAGGGTGCGTCCGACGTGGCCTCAAGTTCCCGGAAAAAGCAACATACAGGGCCACGTAGAAATTTCGATACGTTCATGATGGCAAACATCCCGCGCTCAGCGTCGACGAAAACTACACAGAATTCCTCTCTTTTGACGACATTATACAAGAAGAACCCTCCAGTGGCGCGTCCACCGTGGCTGACAATCTAGAAAAATACTATCGGGGGCGACGTGATTGCATCTGTGTGGATACGTTCAACATCAATGCCAGCGTTCCGCGCCCGATACCTACGAACAGAGCATAGAAGCTATCTCTTGTCATCGTGTAGGGAGCCCCCAGAAAGTACGCAAGCTGTGAATGATTTCCAATGGGAAAGAATTTCTGTTGTAGCGGCCATATGGCAGAAACCCTTTGTGGCGAGCTTACAAAAGGATTGTGGCGGCCCCGCCGAAGGATTCCATTTGGAGCGGCCGTACAGAAGGATGATCCCCTCTGTGGCGGCCTCACAGAAGAAAGACTACGTGTGTGGCAGCCCTACAAAAGAATCCTTTGTGACGCAGCCTTACAAAAAGGAATCCGTGTTGCGGCGGCCTCACAAAATGATTACCTTTGTGGCAGCCTTACAAAAAAAAGAATCCCGTTGTGGCGTCTTTAAGAAACGATTCGTTGCGTGGCGGCCTTACAGAACGATTCGTTGTGTGGCGGCCTTCTAAAAGGACTCCCGGTGTGGCGGCCATACCAAAGGTCTCCGTTTGCGGCGGCTTTACACGAGGACTCCTCTTGCGGCGGCTTTACACAAGAATTCTTTGTGTGTTAGTCTTACAAAACGATTACTTGTGCGGCGCCCTTACACAAAAAAACTTACTTTTTTGAGGCGTGGCAAGTTTCGGTAGCCTTCCGGAAAAAACGAAGGAAACAATGTAAAACACGAAACACACGGAAAACACAGAGAAACACGAAGAAAAACAGCAAACGACTTCGGCAACGCAGCCGAGAACACGAACAACCAAAGAATCCGATGAAACCTCCATACTTGTTATGTTGTTCCATTGTTTTCGCGGTGATTGAATTCCCAACCATCCTGTGGTGTTGAGTCCTCGAGTCGGTCCCCGCGTTCCTCCATCCCTCCTCCATCCTCCCTCCCCCTCCTCCCTCCCTCCCTGCGCTTCACCCACCCAGTACAGCGCTTCGTGGCCCCATAGGGAGTTCCGCCGAAGCCCCCACTGGGACCGCAGGCGTGCGTCCCAGGAACTCAATTTGGCATTTTCACCCACCCAGTACAGCGCTTCGTGGCCCCAGAGGGAGCTCCCCCGAAGCCTCCAATGGGACCGCCCGCATGCGTCGCAGGCGCTGCCGTCTGGCCCGTGCCGGCCGTGCGGGGAGGGTCCCAGGCGCTCGGCGTCCACCAGCTGCCAGCCCAGGTCGCCTGACTCCACCGAGCGTGACTCTTCCAGCTCTGGCCCCAGTCCCCCTCTGGAGTCGGTTCCGGGATCATCCGTCTGAGTGCCGACGTCGAGGCTGCTGATGAGATCTTCTCCGTCATCGGGCATACTTTGTCATGCGCCGCTGGCACCTCCTCTAGAACTGAATCTTTACTAGGGAGAGCTATCTGAATGGGTTCCTCTGATTCTACGAGGAGATCCAGGACCCCGCATCGTCATAGACGTGGTGACGGTCTCCTTCTCCCTCCATCCGTTCCTTGTCGGACTCCTATCCTTCCTCGTCGTCGCCCCCCTTCGTCACCATCGGCCCTTTTATGAGCCTTATCTTCCTTGCCCACAGTTTGTTTCACTACTTTGCGTCACGTCTGCGTTCTCCTGTGTCGGAAGATCTGGTCCAAATTTTTCATAATCTCGATTTAGGACAACTCACCGCCTCTTGGCGGGCAGGGGCGGACCCTCGGCTTCTTCTTCCCTCGTCTCCCCCTCTTTTTTCCGTCGCCTTCATTCGATTATCCTCCCCATCGCCCTTCGCCCCCCCCCCCCCCCCTCCCCTTGTTCTCCCATCCCCCCCCCCCAGCCCATGCAGCCACGTACAAATACAAATCATATCACTGCATGACAGCTACCATACCACAACATTCTCAGAGTTGACTATGTCTGCATATACATAAATATACCGTAAGCAACACATTACTACCCGACGTAGCCCGCTACCCACGCCCACTCCCAACCGCCCGAAGCAACGCGACGCACGCAACGCGCCAAACGACGGCGACGCAGCCCGACGCCCGCGACGCAGCTGGCGAATTACCCGACGCCCCGCCCGACGCCGACCCCGACGCTTGACCCGCAGCCGCGCCCAGACGCCGCCGCCGCCATGGCGCTCCGAGCCCCGCCAGGCACTGACGACCCCGACCCTCGGCAGCGGCAGGGCGGCGGCAGCAGCAGCGGCAACGGCGATAGGGCACGCTCGGAGGCACGCCGCTAGGAGTTCCTGCTCGACCAGCTTAAAATAGTCGAAAGGGCGCCGGCACGGGTAAGAGGGGGAGGAGGTCGGAGGAGGACGAGGAGGAGGAGGAAACGAAGTTTGATCCCGGCGGCCCCCAAACTTGTGCGTTGCAGCGGTGCATGCAGTGGCGCGGAGGGTGAGGAGGACGGGTAGGAGGAGAAGGAGGAGCAGGAGGAGGGCGACGAGGAGGAGGTAAGAGGAGGATGACAACGATGGGCGCGGAGGAGGGAGAGGAGGGGAGGAGGAGGGGGAGAGGGACGGGGAAGAACACGAGCGGGAGGAGAGAGATGGGGAAAGAGAGGAGAGGCGAGAGAGGAGGGCGACGACGAGGGCGCGGAGGAGGAGGAGGGAACGGGGAGGTTAGTGGCCAGTTAGTGGCCGGTTAGTGGCTGGTTAGTGGCCGGTTAGTGGCCGGTTCGTGGCCGGTTAGTGGCCGGTTAGTGGCCGGGTTAGTGGACGGTTGGGGTGCAAAGAAGTGTTGGAGCAGGGCGCTGACACCTCCTGGCTATGGACAGGGGGGCGTTAGTGGCCAGACTGGGGGGCGTTAATGGCCAGGCTCGGGGGCGTTAGTGGCCGGACTTGGGGGCGTTAGCGGCCGGGCTTGGGGGGGTTAGCGGCAGGGCTTGGGGGGGTTAGTGGCCGGGCTTGAGGGCGTTAGTGGCCGGGCTTGGGGGCGTTAGCGGCCGGGCTTGGGAGCGTGAGCGGCTGGCGCCAGGCGCCTTCGGGGCCGAACGGCTCGACCCTCGGAAAGCGGCCCAATCGTTGGCCTAGGACCAACGGCATCGTCGTCCTCCTCCTCCTCCTCCTCCGCCTCCGTTTTCCTTCTCCTCCCTCCTCCTCCTCCTCCTCCTCCTCCTCCTCCTCCTCCTCCTCCTCCACGTCCTCCTCCTCCTCCTCCTCCTCCTCCTCCTCCTCCCCTCCTCCTCCTCCTCCTCCTCCTCCTCCTCCTCCTCCTCCTCCTCCCTCCACGTCCTCCTTCTTCTCCTTACCCTCCTCTTTTCGTTCTTCATCTTCTCCTGCGACCGCCTGCCACCGCTCTCTGAGGAGGGTAGAGCTAGGCAGAGTCGGATTTGTCTTACTGGTCGTCAACATCAAACTCCTCTGCCTCCGTTTCGTTCTCACCCTCCTTTCCCTCATATGGATTTTTGTCGGGTTCGCATGACAACGGCGGCTCGGCAGCACGGGTCGAGGACGACGGCGGCGGACGCAGTCCCGCGCGCCCGCCCAACGACGACGGCGCCAGAGAGTTCGACGCAGGCTGGCTGACTCGACGCAACGCCCGACGCAGACACTCGACCCGACGCCCCACTCGACGCCCCGCCCGACGCCCGTGCCCCGCCTGACGCAGCCCGCCCGACGCGACGCGACACGACGCTACGCCTCAGCCTCGAGTCGAACGCCGAACGCCACGCGCTCTGGCACGATGACGACTGACGACGACGAGGACGACGCCGACAAGGGGCCCGAGGGAGAGGGTAAAGGTCATGAGGCACGAGACCATCGCCACCGAACGACGCCCAGAGGGAGGCGGAGGACGAGGAGGAAGAAAATGAGGAGGTGGAAGCATCCGTGAGCCCAAGAGAGCGCCAAAATGGGCAGAGGCTGGAAGAGGAGGAGACAAACAGCGAGGAGCAGGGGGAATACATGTGTGTGAGTCATGATGGAATTCAAACAGACAAAAAGGGATCATGAGGAGGGATGGGGAAGATGGAGAGGCGGACGAGGATGGGGAGAGGGAGGGGGAGGATTCGGAGAACTCGACATATGAAAAATGACACATACTTGAATGGATTCAAAGATGCTCGCAACAGAAAAACATGGCCTTCCATGCGTGATGTTAGAGTGGCTTGTGCGGTCCCTTCGGCACCCCGTCCTGGAATCACTTGCATGCGAAGCAGAAAATGCGAAAATGCCCTGGGAGGAAACTTCAGTTTCTGTGCGTCCTAGCCAGACACCCACATAATAGGGGTTCTAGAAGGCACCCCCATCAAGTGGAAGTGGCGCATATTAAGGCATACTGTTCTACGTTTCCCGGAAGAGACCGACTTAGGCTACCGGGTTCGCCTACAATTTCGCGATGCTGTTCTTGAGCTCTGCATTCATTGCAGCGACTGCTTCTCACGCTCGCGCCCAGAGGGGGTGAGAGCACAGCAGCAGCAGGAGATGGCAGAGTGACACGCGGATCCGCGGAGCTACAGGGCCTACGCGGTTCTAACGTGGCAGGCCATTTCGCAGGCCCTCCTCGTCTGGCTCGAGAGCGAGTATGGGAATTTCAGGAGCAGGCCCCTTGAGCCAAATTGGCGACGGAGGAGGAGGACAACGACGTCGACGGGGACGCTGAGGAGGGGGACGACGACAGGAAAAGCAAGAAAAGAGATGTGCTCACGCGTATTGACATTGCCTGGTACGGCCCGCGCTAAGCCCTTGGCCGAGCAGTTCGGCGTTATGCCCATCTCCGTCTCTCCACCTGGCACGTCGCGCTAATTCCCATCCTCGTCCTTCGCAGGAATGCGAGGACGGCTGCACGAGATGGAAGAGAGCTCCTCGCACCTGGCGCCAAGCGGAAAAGGCCATGGCTTTCGCAACGCTCGAATGACATGTCCAGGGACAGGAAGCAGGATGGGGAGAAGGCGAAGGAGAGGGGCGCGCGAAGATGTAGGAGGAGGAGAAGGAGACGGAGGAGGAGGAGGAGGAGGAGGAGGGAGGGAGGGAGGATGAGGAAGAAGAGGAGTAGACGGAGTGATGCTCCACCGAGATCGTGCCGCTTTCTGGTGGTTCCTCTGAAATTGGGACACGAACTTGCGCGGCTTGCTGGCAGGCCGTATACGACAGAATGGGACTGGCGCGTCCCAAGTGGGTAAGGAGAAAATTGGTACGATACCCAACAGTAAAATATGATTCAAAACTGGCAGCGACCACTGTTAGACAGACGACTTGTTGTCTCTAGTGGACAGCGTACGCGACGACAGCGACAGCGAGACCTGCTCAAAATGGTCAGGAACTGCCAGTCTTCGACCCACGGAGCCCAAATCCGTGTGTCAGGTTCCGCTCGTGAACGCATCAATTGCAACTGCACAGCAAAGCACCATGCTGCTCTCGGCGGTCTGAGGATCAAACGATTGCCCCTCCCAAGCTAAGGCTGGCAGGAGAGCGGCTGGCGCCGCTGCGGGTGGGCATGACACGATGAGCTCAGAGCGAGGTCCCCCAAGATATTATCAGAAGGGTTTTGGGGGTGCAGTCCACAGAGCCTCCTTCAGTCAGAGTAGGTCCACTGAGCTCAGAAGAAGCATTGCATTATCGGCATGATTACATTCGTACATCATTATTGCAATGACTCGGCGAGAGCACCTGTTGCCCTGCAACAATTACACGTATCTGCTCCCACTACCGCCCTCTCGAATGGCAAAGACAAGAAAATCTGCGAGAACGGCACCCGTCATCAGCATGCCCTTGCAGAAGAACTTATTCCTCGCAGGCCACACCTCGCTGGCACTATCACAACCCGGGCTAATAGGATAACTAGGTGGGTGCACAGTGGGATCTGTGCGCCACCTTGCCCCCTGGCACGCTGAGGCGCGGTAGAATGCAATAGTTTTCTGGTGGGTTGTCTGTAAGCCTTGAAGGGGCTGGCCCCCCCTCTTCTCGCAGGTGTCCGCGCACATCGCCCCCCCTCCCGAGGCCACGGTCCCTGGTACAAAAAGAACCTATGGGCGAGCGCCCCCGAGGCCAGGACCCATCCCCTGCAACAACGGCTGCTACGTCGCGCTCCCGAGGCCACGATCCTTATCAAGAACCCGTGGACCAGCGCTCCCGAGGTCCCGAAGACGGCCGAGGCAGGCAACCAAGGCCGCCAAGGTGACCCCGAGTGCCTCCACGACGGCCAAACATTGCACAAGCGCGGCCTAATGCTGCACCAGGATGGCCCACAAGATCCCTGGCCCCCTCATGAGGTCGGCAAGAGGACCACCAGCACGGCCAGAAGATGCAACCATCATAAATTGACGTACATTGATATACATTTATATGTATATATATATATAGCAGAGTGCACGGTGTATACATATAAACAACTATACATGTGTGTATATGAACATACATACATACATACATATATATACATACATACACACACCTTATAAAAAAAAAGAATTATGTACATTATGCGTGAATGTATGTTTTTGCGCGCATTTGTTTGTGAGCGAGTGTGTGTTTGTGTTGTGTTGTGTTGTGTTGTGTTGTGTTGCGTTGTCTTGTGGTGTGTGGTGTGCTGTGCTGTGGTGTGTTGTGCTGTTGTTGTGTTGTATTGTGGTGCGGTGTGGTGTGTTGTGTTGTTGTGTTGTGTTGTGTTGTTGTTGTCGTTGTGGTTATGGTTATGGTTGTGGTTATGGTTCTGGTTATGGTTCTGGTTTTTGTTGAAATCGCACTAATAAAAAATACTTGCTGTTGATCCCCCACCTCAAGTAACATGTATGTTCTTCAATTGAAATGCCCTTCCCGGGGCTCGCACCTTGCTTTTTATCTGGGGGAGATTCCCTGCTCGAACTGTGCCCCTGGCCCCCGGTTTACAACAACAGCGGCTCCCGCCTGATACCTCCTCGCAATTTACTGGGGAATCGCGCTCTCGCCGGGGACTTCTTGAAATGTATCCAAGAATTGCGCTCTCGCCTGCGACTTCCTCGCAATTTATTCAGGCGCCACGCCCTCTCCATTCAGGAATCGCGATCTCGCCTGGGAATTCCTCATGATTTACTTGGGAATCGCGCTCTCGCTCGAGATTTTCCTGGCGAGTTAAGCAAGACTTACGCCTACGCGTAACATACGTGCTTGTTCAATTCAAACGCCCCTCCCGGGAGTCGATGTGTTCCTACAGAAGGAAGATTTCCTGTTCAAATCGCCCCTGGCCCCCAATTTACAACAACAGATACAACAACGGCTCACGCTGACACTTCGTCACAATTTACTGAGAAATCGAGCTCTCGCCACGGAATGTGTTCCAATGTATCGGAGAATCGCGCTCTCGCCCGATACTTCCTCGCAGTGTATTCAGGCGTCGCTCTTTCGACACCCGGGAATCGCGTTGTAGCTTCGGGCCCCCTCGCAGTGTATTCAGGCGCCGCGCCCTCGACACTCAGGAATCACGCTCTCGCTCTGGATTTCCTCACGACATGTAGTTGGGAATCGAGCTGTCGCTCAAGGCTTCCTCGCGATTGATGCAGGACGCACGCTTCAGCAACCCGCCTGCTCGGCCTGGCCGCCTGGGCTCGCCTGTTAGGGTTTGCCCGCCCGATATGCCCGTCTGGTTCTGCGACGTGGTTTCTGCTCGTGGCCCCCCTCCTGCTACTCTCTCTCTCTCTCTCTTCTGTTATCTCTCTCTCTCTCTCTCTTTCTCTCCCTCTTTCTGTGCTCCATCCTCCTTTCCCCCTTGTCCCGTCCTTCCATCCGTCCTCTCTTCCCCTGCTTCGAAATACACGTTGTAAGAAAAGAAAGGTATACACCCAAGGGGATACGATCGAAGACGAAGAGGGTGGGTATCGACGGTTTGGGCTTACACGTGCTGAATTGTACGCTCGCCGCGAGCAAATAAGAGCGAACAGTCTTAACATGAGTGTTGTTGTTGGTGGTGTTGGTGGTGTTGGTGTTGTTGGTTTTGCTGGTAATGTTGCTGTGGTTGTGGTTGTGGTTGTGTGCGTGTTTGCGTTTGTGGTTGTGCTTGTGATTGTGTGTTGAGTTTGTGTGTGTTTGTGGTTGTGCTTGTGTGTATGTGTACGTGTGTGTATGTGTATGTGCATGTGTATGTGTCTGTGTCTGTGTCTGTCTCTGTGGGTGCCTGTGCATGTACTGGTGTCTGTGCCTGTGTATGTGTGTGTGTGCATGCGTATGTGTGTACGTGCTTCTGTATGTGTGTGAATATGTGTGTATGTGTATGTGCACGTGCACGTGCATGTGCATGTGAATTTGCATGTGTGTGTGTATGTGTATGTGTCTGTGTCTGTGTCTGTGTATGTGTATGTGTATGTGTATGTGTATGTGTATGTGTATGTGTATGTGTATGTGTATGTGTATGTTTATGTGTATGCGTGTGTGTGGCAGGGCGGGGGGCGTGCGTGCGCGTGTGCGCGTGCGTGTGTTCTTCGTGTGTGCGCGCGCATGCGCGTGCGCACGCGCGTGCGCGTGCGCGCACGCCTGCGCGTGCGCGTGCGCGTGCGTGTGCGTGTGCGTGTGCGTGTGCTCGTGCGCGTGCGCGTACGAGTGCATGTGCGCGCGCGCTATGCGCGTGGCTGTGCGTGTGCGTATGCGTGTGCGTGCGCGTGTGCGCATGCGCGCGCGCGTGCGCGTGCGCGTGCGCGTGCACGTGCGCGTGCGCGTGCGCGTGCGCGCGCGCGTTTGCGTGTGCGTGTGTGTGCGCGCGTGCGGTGATGGTCGTGCGTGTTCGTTGCTGCTTGTGTGCGCGTGCGCACGCGTGCGTGCGCACGCGCGTTGCGCGTGCGCGGTGCGCGTGCGCCTGCGCCTGCGCCTGCTTGCGCGTGCGCGTGCGCGTGCGCGTGCGCGTGCACGTGCGCGTGCACGTGCGCGTGCGCGTGCGCGTGCGCGTGCGCCTGCGCCTGCGCCTGCGCCTGCGCGTGCGCGTGCGCGTGCGCGTGCGCGTGCGCGTGCGCGTGCGCGTGCGCGTGCGCGTGCGCGTGCGCGTGCGCGTGGGCGTGTGCGTGGGCGTGTGCGTGTGCGTGTGCGTGTGCGTGTGCGTGTGCGTGTGCGTGTGCGTGTGCGTGTGCGTGTGCGTGTGCGTGTGCGTGTGCGTGTGCGTGTGCGTGTGCGTGTGCGTGTGCGTG